CCTCCCATCCCATGGCTCAACAGGTAAAGAATCTGCCTGCAATGCAGGAGATGCAGGAGATGTTGGTTCAATCCCTGGGTCAGGAAGATCCCCTGGAGTAGGAAATAGTGACCCACTCCAATATTCTTGCCTAAAGAATCCCATGGACAGAAGAGCCTGGTGGGCTACAGCCCCTGAGGTCACAAAGAGTCAGACATGACTGATGACTAAGCACAGCACAGCATCCCATTTTGCAGTTCTCTGGACCCTTGGGAATGGAGATTGCCCACTTTGTGAAGTGTTAACATTTGTTTGTATTAAATTGTATTAAATTGTCTTCTTTAATAACTTTTATGGTTTTTCCTGTAGTCACGTAAGGATGTGAGAGTTGGACCATCAAGAAGGCTGAGTGCCAAAGAATTGATGTTTTCAAATTGTGGTGCTGCAGGAGACTCCTGTGAGTCCCTTGGACAGCAAGGAGATCAACCCAGTCAATCCTTTAGGAAATAGATCATGAATATTCATTGCTGGTGCTGCTAAGTCGCTTCAGTCGTGTCCGACTCTGTGCAACCCCATAGACGGCAGCCCATCAGACTCCCCCATCCCTGGGATTCTCCAGGCAGGAACACTGGAGTGGGTTGCCATTTCCTTCTCCAATGTGAGAAAGTGGAAAGTGAAAGTGAAGTCACTCAGTTGTGTCCGACTCTTCGCGACCCCATGGACTGCAGCCCACCAGGCTCCTCCGTCCATGGGATTTTCCAGGCAAGAGTACTGGAGTGGGTTGTCATTGGAAGGACTCATATTGAAGCTGAAGCTCCAATACTTTGGCCACCTGATACAAACAGTTGACTCACTGGAAAAGATTCTGATGCAAGATTGAGGGCAAGAAGAGAAAGGGGCAGCAGAGGATGAGGTGGTTAGATAGCATCACTGCCTCGGTGAACATGAATCTGAGCAAACTCCTGGAAATAGTGGGGGACAGATGAACCTGGCATGCTGCAGACCACAGGTTGCAAAGAGCAGGACATGACTTAGCGACTGAACAACAACAACAAATTCATTTTTAACATTATTCCCTCCTGCAAACTCAATGTTTAAGAATCTAGTTCCCTTGAATAAATGGTCTGCTATCCACTCCCTGCGATTGCACTTCTGAGAGCTTGATGCTTACTATAAGAGTAACTGGATCCTCCCTCTGCAATTTGTCATCTGCCTCTAGGAAATTTCATGGAAAATGGTGGACAGAAAACCTGAAAGCTCAGAAAACTGGGAGTAGGAGGAACAGAGACTGTTGAGACTGGTGTTAGCTTGCAGTGGATCATCAGTGATTGTTTAGAGGATCAGCAGAGGACTCTTTACCATGATTGATCTTGGAGCCGAATCTGGGTAAGGAAGGAAGAAGAGCCCTCAGGTGCCTAAGGACAGTAGGATCAGTGGACAGTAGATTCCAGTGAAAAAGGACGGTTCCGAGTTGGGGATGTGAGAAGAAATGACATAGAAAATAAGAAGCAGTGCTCAGAGAGTTGACTGCAACTCAGAATATAGAGTGGAAACTATTGATTCTCCAATGACATGAGAATGGGTAACTAAAACCAGATATCCAAAGGACCATCTGCCTAGGATTTTTGAAATCATCAAGAATTATGGTAGAAGCAGGGCTGGCAAGAGTCACAGTGAACCAGGAACCGAAAGCTTCAAGAACTGTGGAAGAGTGACCTCAAGGGTGATGACTGACTGACCAATAAAATGAAACTACCGAGTCTACAATTCTGGTTATTTATCTACATAAATGGTATTCTATATACCATAGGGACATACTTATATCTGGTTCTTTTATTATGTAAGACTAGCCTAGTTGAGCATGGCTAATTAACTGATGAATTACTCCATCAAAAAGTCTCCTAGATTTCTTTAACATTTACTTAAGTATACCATATTTTTTAAAAATTATAGCTGATTTACAACGTTGCATTAGTTTCAGGTGTACAACACAGTGATTCAGTTATATATGCCTATATACCTATTCCTTTTCAAGTTCTTTTCCCTTATAGGTTATTTATTTTATATATAGTAGTTGCCTTGTGTGCATGCGCAGTTGTGTCTGACTCTTTGTGACCCCATGGACTGCAGCCCATCAGGCTACTCTGCCTATGAAATTCTCCAGGAAAGAATACTGGAGTTGATTGCCATGCCCTTCTCCAAGGGATTTTTCTGACCCAGGATTGAACCTGAGTCTTCCATGTCTTCTGCATTGGCAAGTGGATTCACTACTGCTGAACCACTGGGGAAGCCCTCCATGTATAGTGGTGTGCATATGTTAATCCCAGCCCCTAATTTATCCCTCCTCCCCTTGTCCCTTTTGGTAACCATAAATTGGTTTTCTCTATCTATGGGTCTAAAATATCTTTTTTCCTGAAAAATACTGTTTTGTACTTAGATAAATAATAATGCCTTTATGAACAAAGGAAAGAGAAGAACAGAATCTGGGTATCTAATAGTGCTTCTCAAATTTTGTTTGAAACTATTCAGTCTAGATGTATTTTTGCACTATACAAATTGCATAATTTCTAAAATATCTTGTGGAAGATAGGTAACTTTTAACAGCGAAAAGGTCCAAAGGCACACTTTTGCTCTCCATCCATCCTTTCAAGAGGTGGTCCTCCTCCACCAGGTACTCAGGGCAGGCAGGCTTGCCACCATCAGCAAGCACATGTGTATCTGCCCTTAGGTATTCTGGGCATCTGGTTCATTTTAAATGATTAATTAGAGACTTTGCATCTCTCAGTAAAATGGGGATTTATTATTCTCTTGACATATAAATAATTCATTCAGAGCATATATCAAATCAATAGAAATTTCACTATAATACAAATAAACTCACAGTAAGTTGAAAATTAAAATGGCATGCTTAATTAAAGACCCAGGACCCTCTCCTGCTAAAACTATAATTAGCTTTTGCCAAGCATGAAATAAAACACTATGACTTGACTTTATTCATTGACTATAAATCTCATCCTTCTGCATTAATTTTCTACCCTGTATTTCCTTTTACATTCTCTAGAGGAAAGAAAAAATGCTTATATATAATATGTCATATTTTAAGCATGTGTTATGATGCTTTTAAATGTACTACTTACATTTGTAAGTAGTAGCTCAATGACTAGTGAGCTATATTCTAAATGATATGCCCCATTACAGTGACTTCAGATAATGTATTACTCCTTCTGAACAGGAGGAGGTTCTAGGCAAGTTCATGGTAGATATTCCAGGTGCTGGAGAGATTCTATACATATGTGATTTTCTATCTTCATACTGATACTGCAAGAAGAGTTAATTATTCTCCACATGCACTTTATAGGTGAGGGAAACTGAATTTCAGTGAGGTTAAGAAATACACTCAAAGTCACACTTAGTAATTTTCTGCATGAACCTCTGGGATAGATGTCAGATGAAGTTTGTTGCTATATTATTCCAAGGTCCACAGCTTTTCCACTCTGCCCCAGGGAGGTGATAATTATATGGTTAATAATTACAGTAGCTAACATTCATTGGGGGAAGATCTCCTGGGAGAGGGAAGGGCAACCCACTCCAGTATTCTTGCCTGGAGAATCCCTATGGACAGAGGAGCCTGGGGGGCTACGGTCCAAAAGGTCGCAAAGAGTCAGACATGAGTGAAGCGACTTAGCACAACACACACAACATGGATTGGGGCTTCCCAGGTGGCACAGTGGTAAAGAATCCGTCGGCCAATGTAGGAGATGTAAGAGACACAGGTTTGATTCCTGGGTTGGGACCGTCCCCGGGAAAGGAAATGACAACCCACTCCAGTATTCTTGCCTGGAAAATTCTAAGGACAGAGGAGCCCAGTAGGCTACAGTCCAAGCAGTCACAAAGAGTTGAGCCGAGCACAACATTTACTGAGAAACTGAAAATGACCAGGCAGGTATATGTTGTTGAATCTTCAACAACCTTATGATTAAGACATCAAGATTTAGAGAAGGAAAGGAATTTACCTAAGATCATGTAATAAATAGTCAACCTAAGTGAGACACAAATCTCCACTCTCCTAAATTCTGACCTCCAACTGTAAACAGATAACTACCCTCAATATATGTTCTGCTATAATACGAAGGTATGAAGTGAGGGGAGAAAAAAATAAAGTTCAGGTTGTTTTGTTTATTTTCTTAATTTGGCAGCTCACATACTTCCTTTAGACTTTTGCAAAACTCATAAAACTGAAATAATGATCTTTTCGATGTTTAAATGTTAAATGCTTTTAGAAAGAATCATTCCAAGTGATGCAGATGTTTCAATTTAATGGTGACTCTTTTTTAGAGGTAAATTGACTGGGGTTTTTTTTCTTTATTTTATGAACCATTTAAAAAAGTCTTTATTGAATTTGCTGTAATACAGAGATTGAACTCACAACCCCTGCATTGGAAGGTGAAGCCTTAACTAGACTGCCAGAAAAGTCCCTATTAGTGATTTTGATTTTGCTTGCAGCATGAACTTTTATCTGGTTGGTATTGCACATTCTTACAGAAATTCCTCTCTGGGTGGGCTGAATTAACAAAAGGCAGTAAAACAGCGAGGATAAGCTTATGATTTAGCTCCTGACATGGGTAAATGAGCCTTGCAATCTTTTATTCCTGGTTGCTCAGTATGTAAATGCATACCTTTGGCCTCTGCTAGGCATAAAAGCAAAATTAGAACATGCACTACAAGAAAAAAAAAAATCATGACTGCTACTGCACACAATTTTTTTAGAATTTGTTAAACTGTATAACAAAACAGATGTATTATCCTTTTTATTTTTAAAAGAATTGCTGACCTTGTATTAAAAATCAAATTTCACATAGGACCAGTCACATGTTAGGTCCTAAATAATATCTGTTTTATGATCAAATGAATTTACATAACTTCAGTTTGTGCCTCATGCTCATTCCTTAGCGACAGAGTCAGGTATTTCACAGATGGTCAGCAGTAAGCCAGCGGAAGGGGCGGGCTGTCCAGACGTTTACCTGAACAGGGTCTGCACATTGACGATGGTTTTGGCATCCGCCATATAGTCTTCCTCGGCGCTCATGGTGCTTTCTTTGTCCACGACCACCATGTTGGCAGCAAAAGTCACTCCACACCTGAGTAAATCATCTAGGCTTTGATAAAAATCAACAGAGAAAGGTGAACTTTCAATAAATCTCAGTATTCGGATGGTGCTGAAACTCACCTACCCACTCCCCACTGTTATAGGCATAGAGGTTACTGTTATAGGTGGCTTGCATGGAGTGGACACTGAAAGATGTTGTGGGAACTAATACAATACAGTATTCTCCAGACATATGAAATAAATTGCATTTGGGGGTTCTTTATGCTTCATTAGATCTCAATAATTTCAAAGCATATGCATTAAGTATTTTCTTTAATAATATTTGTGAATTTTATAAATAAAGCCTGAAAACACCAACTTTGCAAACAAACAGAATGAGAGCATGTTAGAATTTTGTTTTTACAGTTAGCATATTATTTCAGAAACATGGCATTTGCATTTTTTTTTTTTAGTCTCTGAGGCACTTCTGGTAAGAATAGAAATGAACATATATTAATTTAGATGGTCAAGCCTAACAAGGAAATATATTTATTAGAGATATTTATTTTTAAATGTCTATTTATCTGTGTGAAACTATGTTTTATAGATTGGTTCTACACAGCCAAAAGCATGTAAAATATATAAATATGATTTGCTTTCAAGCCTACCTTTTAGACATTTTTTGAGCAACTGATTAAATGAATTAAATTTGTTGGTTGCAGGAAACAATTGGTAAACTAAGACACAAGTTCATATGAGTTACCATAGAGTCAGTAATCTCCCCTATCACTGATAAAAAATTTACCTAGCACTGAATTTAAAAACAATGTTATAGCAAAAGCTGAATCAGGAAAGCCCTTTCTCATTGCCTCTGCTTCACACAAATTTCAAAAATAGGACTGAATTGGAGAAGGGAGATTATACTCGAGTGAATGCAAGGGTATTCTAGGTTCAGAGTTGACTGAAGACAAATAAGAAGAATTGGGATAACTGATTTCTACATCTTCCAATTTAAAGTAAAAAGCTTAAAACTCAAAGAGCAGTAGCTCCTTTTAGATTCTTAAATGGAACAGTTAATTCTCCTAAAGATTGTCTCAAACTGCATGATCCCTTGAATTAGCCGTCTCACATTAGAGGGGATTATTTTCCTGTTACAGGAAGGCAAGAGGCAAGATTTCTTACTCTGTTAAATGGCGACAGAGTATTACCAAAGCTTTGAGTCCAAGATCCCCAGAAATAGTCCAGAAAAAATATTTTGCTTGAATCAGGCACAGTGTTCTATAGCAGGGGTTTTATGACTAAAACTGTGAAAACAGAATATTACCCCAAATAAATTTCCTATGGTGAGAGGGTCCAGGACCATAATATCTAATCAATATGATGACCAAGTTTAAATCTCCAGGAATACTTCACTAGGGTGTTCCTTTTATCTAGGAAATTTATAATTATTCTTACATTTATTAAAATACTTTTTAAATGAAAGAAGAAGGTGAAAAGCAAAATATGATCCCTTGGGGACCATAAAAATGATGCTAAATCTTATGACTTCACACTCCATTATTATAGTGTTAATTCACTTTTTCATATTTCAGCTCTTATGATCTTTATTTCCCCCACTAAACAAATTGTCTATATAGGAAAAGGAAAAGTTAATGTAATAGAAGGTAATCTTGATCAAAAAATTATACACAGAAGTTGCAATAAAATGAATATTTCATCGTCAATAAATCAAGGAAGTTGAGACTTGACAAAAACACTTCACTATGAGAATATTTGTACTAAACAGTTACTAGCTAGCCAAACCTGTACATATCAGTTAATTCCATACTCAAAATACTAGTTTACACATAACATTGGCAAATGATTTTAGTAATTATTATTGAATATGAATTTAAATCTAAAGAAATTTATAGGATCTATAGATTATTAATACATTAGAGTGGCATTTTTGAGTCACATAGAAACTTTATTCTTCATGTTTTAACTTCAGCTTATTTGTATTCATTTAAAATTGCATTTTATTCTTTATGTTTTTAGTAGACTACCAATTTGTTTTTATAATTCTGTGTGTATCAGTTTCTTCCCACTATCTTATCTACAAAGACACTATTTTTAATTTAGCATGAGTGCTTTACACAGTTTGGCCACCAGATGGCGGCACAAGAAAAAAGTCAATATGGAAATTGTGTTTGTGTTTTTTTAAAGAGCTTACAGATTGAGAGAATGGCTTAACAAAATCAGAAATGCTTCCCTTGGGAAACATTTTGGCCAGTTCTTATCCTGAAGTCTGTCTTGTTTTTTCCCTAATTGTGCTGTTTCAAAGGCTGGACAGTCAGCTGATGGTCTCTACAACTCCCAGAAGGGAGTCTAGAGGATTTATTTTGCATTTGTAAGGCAAGAGATGATTTCTCTAATATTAGAGAATTCATGTAACGTTACATGAATTCTTGCTCTTACTAAATTTAGTCTTACTAGACTAAACTGCTAGTCTAGTATAATTCTCCCTGACCTAAGTGAGATTTTTTCATCTAGCAACAAAGTATCTCCTAATTTCCAGGAGTTTGTGAAGTTGGGGCTGGAGTATCTCAATGTGAACAGCTTTCATGTTACCATGTGTTTTCTCAAATTTAAATTGGCTATTTGGATATCTCTAAATTAGTTGTAAGTATTTAGGAAAACATGTGCAAGTAATTTAATGAGGACATAGTCTTTTTTTTTACAGTAGTTTGAATTAATGTATTTTGTATTATTTTGCAGTAAAATGTGATTCAGATTTCTATAGGATTTAAAACCACAGACAGTATTTCATATTTGAATTGTCTTCTGTAACATTTCAATAAAATTGGCCCAACTTAAAAAAAAAAAAAAAAAGTCAATATGGTTGAAAAAGTTACAGAGACTCTAACTGGCAATGTCTTTCTACCCTTCTCTCAGACTTCTTTTTTGAGGAGAACCAGAATGTAAAGCTATAAATATAGAGGAATGTTTGTGAAAGCGTTTTGATTCCTTCATAGATTTTGTTTGCTCATTTATGTTTAAGGAAAACGTCAAACATTAGCAGAAGAGAATACTATAGTGAATCTCCTGTACCAATTACCCAGTTTCAATAATCGGTGTCTTGTAGTCAATCCAGTTTCACCTCTGATCCTAGGAATTTGATCCTTCCCATTCTTCTTTTCCTCCCCATTAACACTTTTATAAAGGGAGAATTCATTTTAGTTTACATCAGAAAAGATGGATGAGAGGTTTATTTTGTATCTTTTAATCCTAATGAATTTTAATAGAATACTATTAATATCACATTACTAATGATAAAATATGGGTTGATTTCACTTTCAAGGATTCAAATAGTAGTTTTAGTACCTCCATATTTTAATTAGTTGGTTAGTCTTATGACGGCAGTAATGTAAATTATATTAATGTAGTTGTTTAGTTGCTAACTTGTTTGCAACTCTTTTGCAACCTCATGGAAAGCAGTCTGCCAGGCTCCTCTGTCCACGGGATTCTCCAGGCAAGAGTACTGGAGTGGGTTGCCATTTCCTACTCCAGAGGATCTTCTCAACCCAGGGATCGAACCTGCATCTCCTGCATTGGCAGGTGGATTCTTTACCACTGAGCTAGCAGGGAAACCCAGGCATATTCATGTAGAATGAAGGCTAAATGTGTGTTAATCTGTTTGGCCATTAATGTATCCACAGTCAATAAACACTCTCAAAGTTACAACGTAACTTTGAGAAATGTAAACATGGGAGTTCTCAGTGGATAACTTTCAGCATTTTATTTGCAATGCTCTGGCTGATGTTTTATAGAGTGGAAGATTAATACATTTTATAAGCATATTCGTTTTATGATCTTTTAATTTTAGCATTTGTTACAATGTCATGTTCATGCATATAAAGGAATTTGTATTTTAAAGCTGAAGGATCACACACATTTGACCTTTAATTAACAAATTATTAGAAATTACAGACTTCAATATGTTCTAAGAATGAACTAAGGAAATGCTCCAGTTAATAAATTTGACTTAAAAATGAGCATTTCCAAATTATGTTGAAGTTTTCCAAAAGTAACGGTACTGACACCAAATGCAGCTCAGCGTTGAAGTTCTAGGTTTTCTCTGTCACATGTCAACAGTTACGAATCTTACTGCTGTAGATGGCACAGCACTGAAGTGGTTTTAGAAATGGAACAAGACTGACATGCAACAAGAGTAGTTTAACTCAACAACAGATTACTGCTTAGAGAGTCTGAATGCAAGACGTATGACAGGAGAACACAAGCTCCACATGCAATGTACGTCACATTCACAACACTGAAATGGCAAGTTGCACCCGACATGCAGCACCGGGCACAGCGCATGACAGGCACAGGACGCCACACTGGTGAGGGTGCCAAGGATTTCGTCACCTACTTGTCAATAGAGCCCACCATGTAGTAAACCATTGGAAACCAACAGATGGCATCCAGAAAGTGCATGTCTGGCCTAAGCAGCACATGGGTTACAAAATGAAACACAGTGTCACAACAGCGGCAGGCTTCCGGGGAAGGAAGTAAGCTGACTCAGTTCTCATTTCCAATACTAAACGCCATTGACAAGATTAATTTTAAAGTGACTTTTCTCTTAACATTAATTTTAAAATGTCATTTTTACTTGTTACGAATAATACAAAGCACTCATTAATTAAAAGAAAAAGTCACATTTTTGCTTCCTAAATCAGAAACATTATGGCAATATTCTACAAAAACTCCAAATTGATACTCTTAGTTTATGACTAAAAAGTCTTTCCAATGAGTTTGAAATTATTCATCCTGAGAAAGTCTTGTAAAATGGGAAACTAGTGGCTTTTTTGATGATATAAAATATAAGAAACTAAATTAGCGTGTCTATCTAATTTTCGCTAAGAGATATACAGAATCACAACATGTCCCTTAATATATCAACATATGAATAAAAAATATAGTATATGTACCCATGCAATATATATATATGTGTGTGTGTGTGTGTGTGTGTGTATAAAATACAGAATCAAAATAAAAGTATTTCACCTTTTACACTTTTCTCAATATACACTTTTTTTTTTCTCAATATACGCTGTTGAGCAAATTGTATTACAACTGAAATCTTTACTCTTTATGCACATTTGGGGAAAGACTCATAAACTTGGAAGCTTCCTTACAAATTACCTAATCCATTGCATTCATTTCATAAAGTTATCAATTCTTTCATTCATCTATTCACTCAGCATCTCTGAATTCAAAAGCTTTCCATAATAGACATTTTGGTATACTAAAGTGTATGCAAAATATATATATGTATCGTGTTAGCTTGTACTACAAGAAATAGAGTTTTTGTAACACATATGTAAAAGCACAAAATTATAGAATATACTGAAAAATAAGGAATGGGTTGCATTCGGGATACAAAATAGAGGAAATATTTAATTTGGATGTTGAAGGATGAGTAGGAAATGCACCAGGAAAGGGGGAGGAAAGAGGACTTCTAGGCAAAGGGGAGCACAGCCCCGACAGCATCCCAGCCATTAGTCTCTCCTCCCTGATTCATTTCTTCCTGTTGATCAATTTCATCTCTCTTCATTTTAAAGAAAAATAATACTTAGTCCAGTGAATCATAAAAAGAAAACATCTAAAGAATCTCACTGTTGATGACATTCACACCATCATTCCTAAAAAGACTTCCTAACCATTTTAAGTGGTCCCATATTACCACATATTATAAATGTATAACAATTCATTAAAAAAGAAAAGCTTCAATTATTCAGTTTCTAAGTTATTTTCACTTTTATGCTATTAATCCCTGGAGTGACAAGCTATTTCTAACATCTTGCTATTATAAAAATTACAGCTCTGGACTTTTTTTGGTGACTTTTTTCCTAGCATTTGGTTTCATCATTTGCCCCAAAACATGCATAGAAGTTTTCCCATTAGTGAATCACAGGAAACAAATACTTTTAAAGCTCATGGTATAGATTGGTTTCACAAATAGAATCATATATACTCCCAGGAGCGGTCTTGACTAGTGCCTGCCAATTCTCTTTCTGGGTGCTGCTTCTGACAATTAGAAGGGATATTCACACTGCTCATTTCAGACCTATGTTTCCTGCCTGCCTTCTGGTTATAGAAGAAGATATTAGGATTTGAGTGACACAGGCTGGGACAGCACTGAGGTTCTATGGTGCTTTCAAAGATCTTTTTGACTGTGTCATTTTGGTGGTCATTATTTCATCTCTCTTTGCTCTTACATAGTTCCAGTCAGATAACATGAATAGCTCAATAACTTACATAGCAGAATTACATTCATAATTCCTTGTTATTAATCACACAGCTATACCCTGTGTGAAATAATCTCCTAATTTTAAAAATCCAGATCATTTCCATTGTTTACACTTCCTTCTCTGTCCACTGTAACATATCTGTTTTCCAAAGACTTGGAACAATAGTTGATGTTATTAATTACTTCAACTTAATAAAGATACCAAAAAGTTTTCTATGTGATGAGAAGTACTGGGGTCACAAGGAACAAAGTAAGTCTTTATGTTATGCCAACCCTTCTATTAGAGTTAAAACTGAAGATCTGGCCTTTGCATTTTGTTGCTCTGCTGAGTAGAAATCATTCGAAGTACTTAAACATCAAAATTATGGCCTGTTGTTAGGAAACTTGTCAATCTTATAGACATGCCATTCTGCCACAAACATGCATTTATTATACAATGCAAAAGCAATCTTTCAAATCTTTAGAAATTAGCATCTGTATTATGGCAGCACAGTTCATCCTTAGATGAATCCAGCAATGTTACAAGGCAAGGCAAGTCATCTGAAACATGGTAAATACATAATTCTGATGAAGTATATCATCAGTATATATGTAGGGAGTCTAGTATGCCATGTGCATGTGTGATCAGTCACTAAGTCCTGTCTGACTCTTTGCGACTCTATGGACTGTAGCCTGCTAAGCTCCTCTGTTCATGGGACTTTCCAGACAAGAATACTGGAATGGGTTGCCATTTCCTCCTCCAAGGTATCTTCCCAACCCAGTGATTGAACCCTGATCTCCTCTACCTCCTGCATTACAGGTGGATTCTTTACCACTTGAGTCACTGGTGAAGTCATACTTTGCAAAATTTGACTTGTATAGTAAATAGATCCACCCACTACTTCTACTGATAAAGGTGGCTTAAAAGGACACCTGAAATATAAGGGATATATCAATCATACATTCATATGTACTATGCCGACACATTTAAGTAAATTGGCAAAGGTCTTTATGGCACTAAGCTGATTACTAAAGAAAAAGTGAACACATCATTAATCAGTCTTATCTGTAATTCAGTTAATAAAGATGACTATTTATGAGTCCAAATAGCTTTACAAAGACTTTCATTACAAAAATTGTGATTATACACAAGTATGAATTAACCAGTTAATGATAAGAAATGAAAAGTTTTGTGAAATTTCATGGATTTTCAAGTTGAAGATCATTATTCCCCATTTAACTAATAACTATAATAAACTTGGGGGCTTCCCTGGTGGCTCAGATGGTAAAGAATCAGTCTACAGTTCAGGAGACTTGGGTTCAATTCCTGTATGAGGAAGATCCCTTGGAGAAGGGAATGACAACCCACTCCAGTATTCTTGCCTGGAGAATCCCACAATCAGAGAAACCTGGAGGGCTACAGTCCATCGGGCTGCAAAGAGTTGAACACAGTTGAGCAACTAACACTATTATAAACTCAATTTTTTTAATTTCAAATTCAAAAATGTATGAGACAGTTTATTTTGCTAGCATTTCATAATCCCACTTTTAAGCTTATTTCTCCCTTAAAAATGAAGTAGCATTTTAATTTCAACAACGTGAAATAAATTTCCCTTTTTCTGTTGTTGTTAATCGGGTTTTCACAGAAACTCACCCATTAGTTTGAATAGTGACAATGGTACAAGGTAGGAAAACTACATTTCTGGACTGGCTTTCATGAGTCAGATACTATACTAGTGCTCCATATACATTATTTTATATAACTGCAAAATAAGATAAATGTTCTCATTTTACAAATGAGGAAATTGAGGCTTACAGAAGTTCGGTAACATACAGCCTATCAAGAGGGTCAGCTTAGATCTTATTTCAGATCTGTGTGAGTCTAAGGCTTGAATGTTTTTAATAAGGACCCTGATACATCAGACGGTTTACCATTACTTTTGAAATAAGCTGAACTGAAGCTTACTTGTAACTATATGTGCAAAGAAGACTGATTTAGTAAAGGGATAGTTAAACAAGATGTTGTAAAATTTAAGAAGATGAGCCTGAATCTTGTACTTTAAATCAGCGTAGCTTTGGGTAATACATTCCAACGTTTTTTTGACTCACTTTTCCATCTCTCATATGAAATGGTATCATCAGATGACTAGATGACCTTTAAGGTTGAAGTGGTAATCAAAATGTTTAAAATTAGTATGGTGCCACAACAGAATAGAACAGATGGCCAGCCAATCAGAACTGAGACAAGTTTTGATGAACCAGTATCCAGTGCAAGATTAGCATATGAAATGCAGAAGGCGTTTTACTTGGAAACATTATGAACACTTACTTAGACATATTATGTATGTGAATATCATAAATTTAATTTACATTTAAAATCCCATATTTGTGGCATCTGTTTTTTACATTGAATTAACTGGTTTTTCCACTGAATCTCCTAAGTAGCCATGCATTGACATTATTTTTAACAATGCTCACGTTCATTTAAAATAAAGTCAAATCCCACTAAACTAACTAGTAATTGTAGAAGTGTGTGTAATTATTAGTGTGTAAATTCTTATAACCCATAAATATTTTAAAGAAGAAAGCATCATATTTCTTTATCATACTGTAGGATAGATTGAAAAATACTAGCCACAGCAGAGAAAAAAGTTCTTTAAAACAAGTTTCAGTGTTTTTTAAAAAAAAGAGGATTGCATAAAACTTGCTGGAACATTATTTACTGGTGTTCATTCTTGTTTCCTCATTCTCAATCAAAGGAACAGAGAACAACAAATAAAATTGTTTGACACCACTTTTGGGAAATACACAGGATGCTAGTCAATTTTACAGATAGCACTTTTATCCCAACTCTTTGAAGAAAAGTCAAACCCACTAAAATTATTTAACAGACGTCATGGGAATAGTTGGATTTCAAACTGCAGGTCCTTAGGAAAGCAAACAAAAATACTTAAGTGCAAAATAACCTAAAGTTAAAATATTCTTGTTTGACAATTGATAAACAATGTATTTTTGCATATGTCAAAAACCCGTAACTAAAGTAAGATCACAAAGACGAAAGAACAATGAGCTATGAATTGTAGAGAAGGTTCGAATCCTAGAATTGACCTTGGAAAAAGTCACATAACTTCTTTGGCCTGTTCCTCCTTTCTATGAAATAAGAGACAGTGAGTGGTGCAATCAAGTCGCACAGACCAATTTGTTTAAATGTTATTGTAATTTGTAAGCTTTGAGATCTTAAGCTGCTTGGTACATCTTTCTGAGGATAAATCATGCTACATGACATAGATATATTTTTTATAGAAATAAAACATGAAATAAAGTCTAAGTATCTACTGGGATGACCACCATGCAGTAAATGCTCAGCAATTATGACTATAATGAACAAAGGTAGTGATAAAGATTATTAATTTTATTAAATGATCACTATGGTCTTATTTAGGTAAAATAATCTCTGATAAAAGCTACATGTATACTTATATTGAATTACTGACCAGTTTTCCAGTAACTAAGGGAAACTGAATTTTCAGATTTTTTGATTGATGATTGATCAGATTCAGGAATTAAGACTGTGGACACAACCGCTTGATTTTATAATTCTATTATACAATCAATCAATAATGTAGTAATTGGGCATTTTGGTAACTTGTTAATTCAAAACCAAAGAGAAAGGAAATGATTTAGTCATGGCAATTCCGAAGCCTACGCAAGGTATACAGGTTAAGAAACCTGAACTCCTGCCACCTGCTCACTGGGATAAGATGGGATTAGTGATTCTGAAATAAGATTGTTTAGGGAAACTAGGTATGGAAAAGGACAAAAGTAAACTCCATTCCAAATTTGGTGAGATTGACTCTTTTGCAAAGTACAATACTGTGATTTATAAGGAGTGTGTAGTTGGCATTCACATTCAGATTCCTCACATATCTTTGGTCTTCACCACATTTTCTAGCTCACAGCTCCCAAAACCCTTGGAATTTCCTGAGTGATAAGAGTCATGGGATCATCTCCTATTAATAATATTTGATCTCTTACCCTCCTGAAATCACTTCAGAGACATGAAGGTGAAATGGGTGTCTTGTTCTTCATAACAAGCCTCTTTCCAGGACAGCTGGGTTTACGTTAATGAAGTGACATTTGGAATGTAGCTAAGGACGGAGGCTGTTTGCCAGAGAAGCCAGCCTGAATAGAGTGTGGGAACTTCAGTCCCACCTCCTGACTTTTGGGGAAGGGATAGGGGCAAGAGATTGAGTTTAATTACCAATGACCAATGATTTAGTCAACTGTGCCTATGTAATGAATCTTTCACTAAAAACCCAAAAAGACACAGTTCAAAGAACTTTCAGGCTGGTGAACAGGTAGAGATTTGGTGACAGTGATGCTCTTTCCCCATACCTTGCCCTGTGCATCTTTTCCACCCAGTTTTTCCTAGTTATATGCCTTTATAATAAGCTGGCAATCCAGTCAGTAAAATGTTTATCTGAATTCTGTGAGCTGCTCTACCAAATAACTTGACCAGCAGGTGTTGGTGGAACCTCTGAGTTACAGCCAGTTGGTCAGAAGTACAGGTAACAACCTGGACTTGCAACTGGCATCAAAGTTCATGGAGGGAGTCACTGAAACTTCCAGCCTATTGTTGTTGTTCAGTTGCTGAGTTGTGTTCCACTATTTGTGATCCCATGGACTGCAGCACTCCAGGCTCCCCTGTCCTTCATTATCCCCCAGAGTTTGTTGAAACTCATGCCCATTGAGTTGGTGATGTTATCCATCATCTTATCCTCTGCCACCCCTTTCTCCTCCTGCCCCTAATCTTTCCCAGCACCAGGGTCTTTTTAAGTCTACAGCTGACCGGTTATAAGGTGATAACCTGGCTTCTGATGGCCTTCTGGAATGGGGGTGGGGAACTTTTGTAGAACTGAAACTTCAACTTGGGAAGCTAGTGTTACTTTTTTTCTTTTTCTGGGTAGACAGTGTCAGAACTGAGTTGAATTTCCCCAGAACTGAGCTGGAGTCCTGAGAACTGCTTGTTGGAGGTGTGGAAAAACTCTCTCTTTCTCTCTCTCTCTCTCTCACACACACACACATTGAAATAGGGTCCCAGAACCCAATTAGGAGTTTTATACATCAGGACCAGGAATTATACCTTGAAATAATATAAAGAAGGTGAAAGAATAATTTTTACCCATAGCTTTACACAGGGATGCTGTAGGCACAGTTCTACTTCTTCTTTTTTTTTTTTTCAAGCCTCTTCCACTCTGCTTCTCTGTATTCTGAGGCCTGAGTTTACCCACTTTAATCCAATCCATAGGACATGGGAACTCATGGTCTAAGTCACGCATGAGTTGCACAAGCATGTATGCTTAGTCATATCTAAATCTTTGTGACCTTATAGACTGTAGCCTTGCAGGCTCCTTTGTCCAAGGGATTCTCCTGGCAAGAATGCTGGAGTGGGTTGCCATTTCCTCCTCCAGGGGATCTTCCCCACCCACCAGATTGTTTACTACTGAACCACCTGCTCTAAGTCAATCAGCTTGTAAATACCCCTGCATTTTTAAGGGAGTGGACACACCACCCCATAGGCAGCATCTGACATAGGCACACCTCTCCCATAGGCAGAGCCAGCATCTGACACTTCTGAGTTCATACAGTGGATGAGCATCTCCTGTGTATCAGATCATCTCCTTCCAGAGATGCTCCATAATTAGGGGTATAGCCCAAGGCCTTGGAGGTGCTCGGGCACCATGTTCTATCACCCTAGCCACCCAGTAACCACTCTTATCCTGCTAGGATTTGCTTTATTAAACTTTTATTTCATCTGACATTGGGTCTAAATTTTTGTTTTCCTACATCTGCCCTAAATTTATGTCACCTTTCCTTGGATGCCAAAAGGATATCAAAAAAGCATTGAATCATCATCAGACCTGAAAGTTCTTCAACTGAAACCTCTAGAGGTGTGCTCAAGTTTTAGAGTTGATTATCACTGAGATTCTGATGCTAAAAAGAGATGCATCCATGAGAATCTTGATATTCATATATTCAGAATAAATAGTGTCATGAAGTTATATCGGGGAGTTATCTCTGTTTTGAGAAAATTCTTTTCATAAATTTTAAAAGCAGAGACAAGGCAGTGGATGTTGGCCTCATTTAGCTTATCCCCAAATTTGCATCACTTTAGAAATTAAGAGGAGAATTGGAGGATGTTAAACTATGGTATTGATTTAAGGACCATCTGCTACTAATTTGAGTCAGAGAGAGAAATATCGTAATTTTAGCACACACACAATGGATTTGACCACAGCATTCGGTGATGTATATTTATATCTGTATAAGGATCTTGAAATTTTTAAATAGTCTTTTTTCATAAGAGTATATTAATCAAACATTTTCTAAAGAAAAGAACATGGTAAAGTGTAAACTATTCATGTTATGTTACAGGATATATGTTTTAACAGTGAAAGAATCATAAGAAGCAATGATGTGTTATCATATGACATAAAATGGATCATTAATATGCTTCTCTGATAATTAATGGTTCTTTACAAAGACAACAAAATTGTCCACTTTTGGCAGAGATTTTCCAGGCTAGTAGATTAATTTAAGGAAAATAACTGTAATTATTTCAGTGGCATGTTTCCCACTGGTAGAGAGATGACTATTTGCAAAAATAGTCTTAAATAAAAGGCTCAGAGTACTCTTGTTATGTTTGAAGTTGTATATGTGAAACATAATCATACTCAATGATTGTTTTGTACCACAGCACAAAATATATCTCCCATATATGCCATAATGTTTCTGACTTAAAATATTCTAAATTTAATTCTAAATTAAATTATTTTTGATAAAATATTAACAAATTTTTCTCTTGCTTGTGTATTTTAAGATATACTTACGGGTTATCCAATAGCAGTATTACGGGGTTAAGTTCTTTCTTTGGTCTATAATAAGCCCTGAGAGGAACAATAAAATTATACAATCCATTTCCAGCTGTTTCAGCTGCAACTATAATTAGCTTATTTTTGAATCCATAGGCTTTTGCGTCCTCATAGTAGTTATGCTGGCAACTCTAGAGAAGAAAAATTATACACAGAAATACCATTTTTATACTCCACTAAAATTGGGTGAAAAAATTTAGGAGACAAACAAATGTGAAATTAGTCCATCCTGGTGAATCCTTTGTTTTCTAATCAATTTGAAAATAGTTGCACTTTTCTATGCCTAATTCTCCAGCCTGAAGGTGTACATGGACAAAACCAATGAATTCCAGGTAGGCAGCCTGATTTGGGGGAATGAAAAGGCAGTGATATGTGTGTACACACATTCTGCTGCAAAGCGGAACTTGCCACTAGATGACATCTGGGTATCAATATTAAAGAATCATCACAATGTATACATATATCAAAGCATCATGCTAAATACCTCAAATATACATAATTTTATTTGTCAACCATAATCCACAAAAGCTGGAAAAACAATCTACCTCTGAGTTTTATTTCCAGAAATAGAGTAACATTATAACTAAGTAACCCTGCAACATTCCAAGAACTGAATACCAAAAGGATAGATATTGAAAGGGATTTTTTCATTAAAAAACAAACAAACAGAACAACTGTAATTGTCTAAAAGCATACCTGAGCTGGCAAGATAATGGTGTAAATATTCAAAAGTAAAATACTAATACTAACAACAACAAGAACAACATAATAACACATTACTGAAATGTATTTCCTGAGGGTATTTTGCTACTTCCAAGGGAGCTAGAATTTACTGGACTTGGCATTATTAAATCAAGATCCTTTTAAATAAAATTATCTGCCTGGAGAACTGCTTTAGCATTCTGGTTTTTTAAACTTTATATCTTTATGTAGGATTCTTTTTATTTGGGCTGAGATTAGTTGATTCTCTGTGGATTCATTATCAACTCTGGAATATTCTCTGCCTTTATTCCTGAATAAAAACTTGCAAAAAATGAGCAAGTTCGAATCAGCAGAATCAATAAGCAACAGAATTAGACTCACAAATATTACAGACTTCCTTGTTACTAGATTCAGAATAGAAAATGAACATGTTTACTATGTTTACAGAAATAAAAGAGAACAAGAGGATATTGGAAATATTTGGGTAGATGTTTAAAAAATTACAAATACTCTAGTCTGGAATTAAAAGGTATCACAACTTAAAACAAATTCAAAAAATGATTTAAATTGCACATTCTGTTCATCTGAAAGGATCAATTGCATGACTGAGTTGAAGTAATTATTCAGAATACAGGGAGAAGAGAGAAAGTAGTATGGAAAAAATTAAGGTGTGTGAGAAGACAGTATGATAATGTCTAATACACATGTAAACAGAATGTCTGACAAAAAGGTAAGAACCACTATTAATGTAAAGATTGACTAAGGCTTTTCTAGAATTAACGAAGCATGCAAATCACTAGGTTCTGAAAACCCAATGAATCCTAATCCAAATAAATAAAGAGAAATCCAGGGTCATACACAGTGTCATACTGCAGGACAATCAAGACAAAAAGAAGACCTTAAAAGCAGCCATAGAGAAAAGAGAACTGTACCTACAAGAAACACACATTAGAACGATGGCTTCTCACCAGCAGTGTGCAGCACAGAAGGCAGTGAATGAAACCCTAACATGTTGAAAGGAAAAAAAAAATTCAGAACCTGGAATTGGATACCCAGCCAAACTAATCTCTAGGAAGGAGGACAAAATAAGGACATATCTAGAAAACTGAAATGGAAAGAATTTATCACTATAGGATTTCATTAGCAGGATTTCTAAAGCTGTCATCATGAAAGTGGAAAGATCAATCCAGAAGGAAGAATTAAGGCATAAGAAAGAACAGAGTACAGGAGATGATAAAGGAGAAGGGCAGTAGGTCCCCACTGGAAGTACCATTGGAGAACTGTGAAGTACAAACAGGATCTGAGGCCACATAAATTTAGGTCCTTTACAAAGAGATCATGGAAGAAGAAGGTGCCAGGTTGGGGCTGAGATTATTAAAGTACTTCATTTTTATGAGATGAAGGGAGGAAACTGAACTACTTTAGGAAATTTAGAAGCAGCATAATTAGCAAGAAAAAAATAACACAAGGATATAACATGGGAATTATTATTGATAAACCTTGTCCAGGAAGGAGCCTACCGATGCTCATGTAAAGCAGACTGAGCAACAAAATCCTTGCTTACAGACTCCACAGATGCAGCAGTGTTATCTGCCTAACCCCACCCCCAAATCACAAAGTGGACACTCATTTACAGAGCAGACTACCACCTCCAACCAGACTCAGTTCAGTTCAGTCGCTCAGTTGTGTCCGACTCTTTGTGTCCCCGTGTACTGCAGACACACCTTCTGTCCATCACCAACTCCTGGAGTTTACTCAAACTCATGTCCATTCAACCATCTCATCCTCCGTGGACCCTTTTTCCTCTCTCCTTCAATCTTTCCCAGCATCAGGGTTTTTTCAAATGAGTCAGTTCTTCCCATAAGGTGGCCAAAGTATTGGAGTTTCAGCTTCAGCAGCAGTCTTTCCAATGAATATTCAGGACCGATTTCCTTCAGGATGGCCTGGTTGTATCTCCTTGTGGTCCAAGAGACACTCAAGAGTATTCTCCAACAGCACAGTTCAAAAGTATCAATTCTTCAGCATTCAGCTTTCTTTATAATCCAACTCTCACATCCATACCTGACTACTGGAAAAACCATAGCTTTGACTAGACGGACCTTTGTTGGCAAAGGAATGTCTCTGCTTTTTAATATGCTGTCTAGGTTGGTCATAACTTTTCTTCCATGGAGCAAGTGTCTTTTAATTTCATGGCTGCAGTCACCATCTACAGTGGTTTCAGAGCCCCCCAAAATAAAGTCTGCCACTGTTTCCACTGTTTCCCCATCTATTTGCCATGAAGTGATGGGACTAGATGCCAGATTCGTCATTTTCTGAATGCTGTTTTAAGCCAGCTTTTTCACTCTTCTCTTTCACTTTCATCAAGAGGGTTTTTAGTTCCTCTTCACTTTCTGTCATAAGGCTGGTGTCATCTGCATATCTGAAGTTATTGATATTTCTCCTGACAATCTTGATGCCAGCTTGTGCTTCATCCAGCCCAGCGTTTCTCATGATGTACTCTGCATATAAGTTAAATAAGCACGGTGACAATATACAGCCTTGATGTACTCCTTTCCCTATTTGGAACAAGTCTGTTGTTCCATGTCCAGTTCTAACTGTTGCTTCCTGACCTGCATACAAATTTCTCAAGAGGCAGGTCAGGTGGTCTGGTATTCCCATCTCTTTTAGAATTTTCCACAGTTGTGATCCACACACTCAAAGGATTTGACATAGTCAATAAAGCAGAAGTAGATATTTTTCTGGAACTCCTTTGCTTTATTGATAATCCAATGGATGTTGGCAATTTGATCTCTGGTTCATCTGCCTTTTGTAAATCCAGCTTGAACATCTGGAAGTTCACGGTTTAAGTACTATCGAAGCCTGGCTTGGAGAATTTTGAGCATTACTTTGCTAGCATGTGAGATGAGTGCAACTGTGTGGTCATTTGAGCATTCTTTGGCATTGCGTTTCTTTGGATTGGAATGAAAACTGACCTTTTCCAGTCCTGTGGCCCTGATGAGTTTTCCAAATTTTCTGGCATATTGAGTGCAGCACTTTCAAAGCATCATCTTTCAGGATTTGAAATAGCTCAGCTGGAATTCCATCACTTCCACTAGCTTTGTTTGTAGTGATGCTTTTTAAGGCCCACTTGACTTTGCATTCCAGGATGTCTGACTCTAGGTGAGTGATCATGCCATCGTGATTATCTGGGTAGTGAAGATCTGTTTTGTACAGTTCTTCTGTGTATTCCTGCCACCTCTTCTTAATATCTTCTGCTTCTGTTAGATCCATACCATTTCTGTCCTTTATTGTGCCCATCTTTGCATGAAATGTCCCTTGGTATCTCTAATTTTCTTGAAGAGATCCCTAGTCTTTCCCATTCTGTTGTTTTCCTCTATTTCTTTGCACTGATCACTGAGGAAGGCTTTGTATCTCTCCTAGCTGTTCTTTGGACTGCTGCATTCAAATGGGTATATCTTCCTTTTCTCCTTTGCCTTTCGCTTCTCTTTTCACAGCTATTTGTAAGGCCTCCTCAGAAAACTATTTTGCCTTTTTGCAATTCTCTTTCTTTGGGATATTCTTGATCACTGACTCCGGTACAATGTCACAAACCTCCATCCACAGTTCTTTAGGCAGTCTGTCTATCAGATTTCATCCCTTGAATCTGTCTCTCTCTTCCACTGTATAATCACAAAGGATTTGATCTAGTGGTTTTCCCTACTTTCTTCAATTTAACTCTGAATTTGGCATTAAGGAATTATGATCTGAGCCACAGTCAGCTCCCGGTCTTGTTTTTGGTCAATGTATAGAGCTTCTCCATGTTTGGCTGTAAAGAATATAATCAGTCTGATTTCGGTATTGACCATCTGGTGATGTCCATGTGTAGAGTCTTCTCTTGTGTTGTTGGAAGAGTGTGTTTGCTACGACCAGTGTGTTCTCTTGGCAAAACTCTATTAGTCTTTGCCCTGGTTCATTTTGTACTCCAAGGCCAAATTTGCCTGTTACTCCAGGTGTTTCTTGACTTCCTACTTTTACATTCCAGTCCCCTATAATGAAAAGGACATCTTTTGTGGGTGTTAGTTCTAGAAGGTCTTGTAGGTTTTCATAGAACTGTTCAACTTCAGCTTCTTCAACATTACTTGTCAGGACATAGATTACTGTGATATTGAATGGTTTGCCTTGGAAACTAACAGAGATCATTCTGTTGTTTTCGAGATTGCACCCAAGTACTGCATTTCAGACATTTTTGTTGACTATGATGGCCACTCCATTCCTTCTAAGAGATGGCACCAACCAGACTGGTGCCAGCTAAAGAATGGATCATCCCAGATGTCATAGACTAATCAACAACAGTTGGAAATTTCTCCTCCTTAGAGACTAATTGTCATCTTTTGACTCTGAAAGTCTCCATTTCTCCTCCAACAAGACTCACCTCTGAAAGCCTAGCTTTTTCTTGTATCAGGTTCCCTGCTTGGTAGTTTAGTCACTAAGTCATGTTCAACTCTTGGGACCCAATGGACTGTAGCCTGCCAGGCTCCTATGGTCCATGGCATTCTCCAGGCAAGAATATTCCAAGTTGGTTTCCTTCTCCAGGTGATCTTCTGGACCCAAGGAATGAACCTGCATCTCCTGCAGTACAGGCAAATCCTTTATGGAATGAGAGACAGGGAAGCCCAAAAGGTCAACCTTGCCCAAACAGTGACTTGAACCCTGGACCCTCAGATTAAAAGTATGATGATCTACTGACTGATCTCTGCTGGGCTCCCTGCTTGTGGTAAGTCGCTCAGTCGTGTCTAATTCTTTGCGACCCCATGATGTGCAGCCAGCCAGACTCCTCTGTCCATGGGATTCTCCAGGCAAGAGTACTGGAGTGGGTTACCATACCCTTCTCTGGGGATCTTCCCAACCCAGGGATTGAATCCGGGTCTCCTGCATTGCAGGAGGATTCCCTACCATGTGAGCCGTCAAGGGAGAGCTGAATGACTAAACACTCACAGAGAGATGGAAACTGATATTTAATGATAAAGTTATCCCTCCGAACTGTAAAGCCTGTAAGCATAGAGCTGCGATTTTTATACCAGATAACTCCAAAATTTAGAATCAAGAAAGAAATTCCTGGTTAGATTTAGTGGCATGTTTTAATTTCTGGGAGATGGGGAGTTGCAGAGTGTTCTTTTTATGTGCTTTCTTATTCATTAGGAAAGCAAATCCTTGCACAGGGCATGCCCAATGGCCATGCTGTGAAAGAGATAAAAATGCCCGCTTTCTTACAATGTTTCTGTTTTGGATGATTTCTCCTGTACATCAGCCAGGAACCAAAAACCAGTATAAAATCTTCAGAGAAGGAGTCATTAAACAAGACACTTCCAGTCTAGTCGATAATGAATCTTTGTGAACAACACATGGACTACCTAACTTGCATCACATCAAGCAATTTCACTTTGAGATTTGAGGCAAAAATGCCTAGTAAAGTACATAGAGCATATTTGGCCAAAGTGATCTGAGGAGGACTCTGGTTTGTGGCTCTGGCACCTTTGTCTTCCTTTTAAAAACATGACTGATCAACTCCTCAAGTACATCAGTGGAGGGTAAAGCACCGAGGTAATCACTGCTGCTGCTAAGTCGCATCAGTCGTGTCCGACTCTGTGTGACCCCATAGACGGCAGCCCACCAGGCTACCCCGTCCCTGGGATTCTCCAGGCAAGAACACTGGAGTGGGTTGCCATTTCCTTCTCCAACGCATGAAAGTGAAGAGTGAAAGTGAAGTCGCTCAGTAGTGTCCGACTCTTAGCGACCCCATGGACTGCAGCCCACCAGGCTCCTCCATCCTTGGGATTTTCCAGGCAAGAGTACTAGAGTGGGTTTCCATTGCCTTCTCTGGGGGTAATCATTAGTGCAGTTTAAAAGAGTAAAATTCACCACGTTATGTATTACATTTACATTTGAAAGATAATACTCTATAAACATATTTCAGTCAAAAAATTGTACAGAATTATTTAAATGTATGCAACTACACGATGCCATCATTTTAGTTTTACAGAAAATAACAGCCCCAAATGCTTACCTTGTCTAGTCTTAAGCAGCAAAATGGTACTTTTTCATGAAGGAGGTGACAAAAAGTGGGTGAACTTCCTATGTATGGAGAGTAAGGTGGGTAGCCTTTAGCGTATCTGTAAAACAATACGAAATACCTAATTACCTTGAATAATGCAGGCAAAGTCTGACAAATCAGTTGTAGTCACATTCCTCACTTTGATAAAGTTAGATGTAGTAACGCTTTGTATTGCAATTATATTTTGATAAAGAAACAATTTGGAACAAGGGCCATGGACCAAAGCTGACTCATCACATGGTTTTGTGAACTAGTTTTCATATGTTTAAATGGTTGGAAAAAGTCAAAAGAAGAGTACTATTTCATTTCATGTGAACATTAAATGAAATTTAAATTTCAGCGTCCACAACTGAAAGTCTGTCAGAATACAGCCACGCTCACTCATCTCTTCAGAAACAGAGTTGAATAGTTGAAGCAAAGACCATAAAGTCTAAAATATTTACTAACTGGTCCTTTCCAATCTTCAGTTTAAAAGATTTAGAAAGATTTTAGAAAATAGCAATGTTAATTTTATTAAAACATATTTAAAGCTAAATTCACTATTATGATTCACTCTATCAATATTCATGAGTCATGATTTTTTATTTTTTTAAGAAAAAAAGAGTAAGTGGTTGAGTGAACTATTCCATTAGACCCACACCAAAACCAGAGTTATTGGTGAAATAATGTTTAAATATTATCAAAGATATTTGGTTTGTTTATTGACTTTATAAGATAGTCACCTGCACATTATGGCTATAAAATTTTCAAAGTGAAGCTATCAAAGTAATAGCATAAATGAAAATTAAGAGGCAAAAGACAATTTAGTGGAGGAAAAGTTCTTTTATCCAATATGAAAGCTCTATTTTGATGAAGAAAATTTATCTTTCAAACCAAGAAATTTCAAACCTAGTTAGAACTGTTTTTCAGACATCATTAACTAAGAGAGTAAAATGGAGAATATTGTGCAAATTTAGAAGCTGACAGTCTTCTCTATTACTTCAATGTCTTTTTCATTTTTCTAGAAATAAAAAATATTCCACCTCTCAATTTCTCTGAAGTACATGTAAAGAAAGAATTTCTATCACAGCACAATTTCTAGAAATATACTGGTGGTCAAACTGCTCCTTCTTCCTATCAAATATTTCATAAATCTATTTGAGTATTATTAATTTCTTAGAGAGTGAAATTGTCTTCTGTGGATATGTCTAAGTTTCTTGTAATAAATATTTAAAAGTGTAATAATATGTAATTTATGTAATAAATAAATATGTATTTATTTATTACATACAAATAAATACATGGATACAAATACATAATATTTATTTCAAATAAATATTTGAAAGAATATTTGAAAGACTAATAGAAGGATTTTTCTATGTTCCAATTATATTTCAATATATTTTAGCATATTTCAGTATATTTTAGCTCAATTCAACATTAACTGAACTTCTATGATATGAAAAATATTAGAAGTGCCTGGGTGATGTTACCATTACCACCAGGACTAGTACTACACCTAACAATAACTGATACTCGCTGAATGCTTACTCTGCACAAACCATTGCTCTAAGTACATTCCTCCATTATCTCAATTAATCTTCAATAGAACCCTATTTACAGATAAAGCATTGTAGGTCAGATGATTTTAAACAAAGCCACTGGTACACAACCAGTATAAAGTGAAACTGCCAAGGGACACAAATTCCTTTGGATTCCACTGTTAAGGGAGTCGAACACTGTGCTTCCCTTAAGAAATACCAACATAATACATGAATAAGACAAGTAAACAAACTCTACTCTAAGCTAAAATATGACCAATACCTTAAATATTGATACTATTTATTATGGACTCTTAGTTAAGAGAACTTGACTTCATTTATTCATTCATTCAAAACATTATTGATTTAATATTAAATAAAAAAGATTGCTGAATGCTGAGACAGACAAGAGCTTAATGGAAGAAGCTGCATTACATGTTGCTAAATTGATTGAGCTTCAATATGGAAGTAGAAAAACAAACTAAAGGTATAAGTTATGTTATAATTTAATAAAAGCATTATTACTTATTTTTAATAAAAAAATGAAAAATACAAACTGCACCCTTAAAGAAAAAAATGTAAAATGTGATGTAGATTTATAATGGAAATACTGATATGCATATTTTTTTTTCTTTAAGGATAAAGGCTAACATAGAGAAAAATGAAGCTGTAAATAGCTGTTGAAGCCAGAAATTCAAGGGCTTAGAATATTTTATCATCAAGAGAGATATTGACTAATAAGAAGAGTGTTTTGGCAGAAGTATGGAGGACTGATTCTGGGATGTCCAGAAGGGAAGGACATTAGTTTTTCATGGCAAGCACAAGTCCCAGTAAACCTTACAAACATACTCCAAGTTCGAGGACATTTCTTCATCTGGTGTAGTTTCATCTTCTGATTGGTCACTTAGAAGCTCACATGTTTGAATTGATGACGTGTCTGCAACCTCTAAAACGGGAGCAATGCTGGGTCTTCTGACTTCTTTACTTCCCTCTGTAGGAAGAGACAGGGTAGGGCCACTTGCAGATCTGCAGCTTGTGTCTTGCAAGTCTATGGCCACAGTACCTGGAACAACGAGAAGTGAAAATCCATCAAAGAATTTGCCACCTATAGGACAGGCAATCACTTAATGATTAAAGCCAGATGAAGCACAGTCAGTATAACCAGGAAATATACTATGCACTGTTTACCCTTTAATCTCAAAAGTGATTTACTTCTTTTTAGTTTGAGCATTTTTACCCACAGGGATAAAAAATCCTGTATTTGTGCAAAAGTGTATTTGGTACAACTAGGTCTATAGTATGAAACATAAGATTTGTGAAATCATGAAACACTTAGACATTTAAATTTTAAAAATTGTTTAAATTTATATTTGTTTTAAACTAATGAAAATTTTTGATCCATTTCACTTTCATAGATCTCTCATTATATCTTTTCTCCTTATATTGTTGAGTTATCTTTCTTTTACTCATTTATAACTACTTTTTAATATTAGAATAATTAATGTTTATTAATATTTATTAAGCCCTTCTCTGTGGCAAGCACAATTCTAGACACTCAAGATATTCAAGGAATAAGGCAGACAATGTTCCTATGCATATGGATTTGTCTTTAAGATAATCAAATGGACAAAGAAATGGAAAAACTAATTCTCAATAATGCTAAATACTATACAGAAAATAAAACAGAATTATGTTACATGATGTAGTATAGGGGGGACAGGCAGCAGGGGAGAGGATGAACTTTTCACCCAGTGATGAGAAGCTATACTCCAAAATCATTACATTTGATTTCTTGACATAAAAAGAAAATCGTGAGCACACGTCATGGAAATGCTTTGAGGCAGTAAGAACAGAAAATTTAAATAACTTAAGGCTCTGAATCCTTGGAATACTCAAGGAACAGTAAATGGAAGAAACAAATTCCTCTGATATTTTTAAGTAACATTTAAAAATTAGTATAAACATCAATTTATGGAAATTGATGGAAAATTTATGGAAAGTGGCTGTCTCTCCCTTTCTGAAGAAAAAAATCAATCTAACAGATGACTGCCACCATATTTCACAACCACTGACTTCATTTATGTATTTATGGAAAGCTGGCCATCCTTCTGAAAGCCCTGAGTCTCCATTTTGTTTTATTCTTTGAAGCAGCTATTAAAACGCTCTCCATTTCCTTAAAACTTCTGTCTGATCTTACAACCTTCTTCACTGTAAGAGCCTGAGACTTTAAAGGGAGGAAAAGACCTCAGGGGTCTTAGCATCTCTTTCTCTGTAGCATGGACAAAGAAGTCAGCAACTGAATTCTAAAAACCTCTGAGAAATACCTTGATGCTGGGAAAGACCGAGAGCAGGAGAGAAGGGGGTGAAAGAGGACAAGATGGTTGAATGGCATCACTGACTCAATGGACATGAGTTTGAGCAAGCTCTGGAAGTTGGTGATGGACAGGGAAGCCTGGTGTGCTGCAGTCATGGGGTTGCAAAGATCAGACATGACTGAACAACAACAACACAGAAGAAGGGATTAAAAGGCAATGTTTCTGAATGTGAGAGTTGATAGAACCAAGACTGGGGAGACCATCTGAGTTCTCCATCTGGGTATTCCTCAATATTGAAATAAATGTGGGACTCAAGTTTCAGAGGCTAGGACCTCTGAAAATACTGTACATGACACTCAGATTTGGGGGAGAGGGAGTCCGGTGTGTCTGCTGTTAATGGGGAAGACTCCTGTGAGGAGCACGACACAATGTGTCTAAAATGACCGTGCCCGAGAAAACAATGTGATGACCACCATATCCGAGCAAAGGTAAAAGTGGTTGGCATCAGAAACTGTACACTCCAGTAACTTTTTGGCACCACAAATAAGGATTAATTTATACTTCAATCCATCTTGGGAGGGAGATGAGGATCCTAGAGAAAATGAGATTAAATTTTCCATTAATCAGGTGAGTGGACTGATTAAACATTAAATTTTATAAATTTGATTCATCAGAATAAAACCATATATGATCTGTATCCTAATATTATAAATTAAAATCCACATTTATGACATTTATCCTCTGCAGATGACCACATTGTATAATTCAGAGGGAAAAGTAATCTTCTGAAGTAAGATTATTTTTATCTTTTGAAAGAAAGCTGTCTTTCTATTGAAGAAATCCTTCAATTCCCTATCTTCAACCAAGTAAACAAGAAAGTTTCAGCAAACTTTTCTCCTTTTATTTCTGTTTGGAAGGAAAGAGACACACCCACATTTATGTAAAACTCAACCCTACTCTTGTTTTGAGAATTAAATCCCCACCTACTTCCCAGGGAACCATGTTCTCTGAATTTCAACCCCTCCCAAATATATGTCTCCACATCACTTCCAACTACCTCCTTATCATCTTCCTGCTCAACACAGGAAACTTGGTGACTTCCTGATAATTCTGCCCACTCTGATATTTGGCACCCAGCTGAGTATGGGGGGATGTGATCATGAGAAAGTCAAAATTTAGCAGGGAAAACACAGTTTTAAAAGCAATTTCAATTACAGAAACAATTTCTTCTTTGAACCTTTCCTTCCCCTAACAAAACCTGGCTCTTCTCTGACATCTCTCCTTGAAATTCTGAAGGTTGCAACACTGAAAGAGTGCCTGTGTTTTAGAAGTGGGGAAATGCCCTCAAGGTTCTCACTGCCTCTTTCAGAGCATTTTCCCTTCACCCCTTATGATATCCCAGCTCTGTGTCATTCATCTTCAGAGTCCATTACCCACTTTCACTGTTTTCCTTGTATACCAACCCTGTGTTGTCTTACTTAGTTTTGTTTTTAGTGGAAGTAAGTTGACTTACTATCTTATATTAGTTTCAGGTGTACAACATAGTGAGTCAATGTTTTTATAGATTATACCCCATATAAGTTATTATAAAGTATTGATGATATTCCTTGTGCTATACATTATATCCTTATATCAGGTAGTCTGTACCTCTTAATTCCCTTCACCTATTTTGCCATTCTCCCCACTGCTAACCACTAGTTTCTTCTCTGTGAGTCTGTTTTGTTATCAGTTCAGCTCAGTTTAGTTGCTCAGTTGTGTCCGACTCTTGGAGACCCCATGGACTGCAGCATGCCAGGTCTCCCTGTCCATCACCAACTCCCGGAGTTTACTCAAACCCATGTCCATCGAGTCGGTGATGCCATTCAATCATCTCATCCTCTGTTGTTCCCTTCTCCTCCTGCCCCAATCCTTCCCAGCATCAGGGTCTTTTCAAATGAGTCAGTTCTTCACATCAGGTGACCAAAGTATTGGAGTTTCAGCTTCAGCATCTGTCCTTCCAATGAACACTCAGGACTGACCTCCTTTAGGATTGACTGGTTGGATTTTCTTGTGGTCCAATGGACTCTCAGGAGTCTTCTCCAACACCACAGTTCAAAAGCATCACTTCTTTGGCACTCAGCTTTCTTGGTAGTCTAGCTCTCACACCCATGCATGACCACTGGAAAAACCATAGCCTTGACTAGACAGACCTTTGTTGGCAAAGGAATGTCTCTGTTTTTTATTATGCTGTTTTGTTATACATTCTACTTATTTCTTTCTTTAACTTTTTCTTTTATATTGGAGTACAGTTGACTAACAATGTTGTGTTAGTTTCAAGTGGACAGCAGGTGATTCAGTTATTGCCCTTTTGAATTATTTTCCTGTTTAGGCCATTACATAGTATGGAGCAAAGTTCCCAGCACCAAACAGTAGGTTATACATTTTAAATATGGCAATGTGTACATGTCAATCCCAAACTCCCTACCTTTCCCCAGCCCCGCCCTCTCCCCAGTAACTATGGTTAGTTCTCTAAGTCTCTGTGAGTCTGTTTCTGTTTTATAAACAAGGTCATTTGTATCATATTTTTTTTAGATTCCACATATAAGCTATATCATACAATATTTCTCTTTTGTCTGGCTTACTTTACTCAATATGACAATCTTTAGGTCCATCCATGTTGCTGTAAAGGGCATTATTTCACTGTCTTTTCATGGCTGAGTAATATTCCATTGTATATATGTGCCACATCTTTATCTCTTCTTCCACTGATGGCCACTTAGGTTGCTTCTACTTCTTGGCTGTAGTAAATAGTGCTGTAACATCGAGGTGCATGTGTCTTATCAAATCATGTTTTTCTCCAGATGTACACCCAGGAATGGGGATGCTGGATCTAGTTTTAGTTTCTTAAGGAAACTCCACACTGTTTTCTATAGTGGCTGTACCAATTTACATTCCCACCAACAGTGTAGGAGGGGTCCCTTCTCTCTACACTCATTGTTTGTGGATTTTTTTGATGATAGACATTTTGATTGGTGTTAGGTAATATCTCATTTTAGTTTTGATTTATATTTCTCTAAAATATAGTGATGTTGAACATCTTTTCATGTGGCTCTTGGCCATCTATAGGTCTTCTTTGGAGAAATGTTTAGGTCTTCCATGCATTTTTGGATTGGGTTGTTTGTTTTGATAACATTAAACCTTATGAGCTGCTTGTAAAGTTTGGAGACTATTCTCTAGTTGGTCACATCATTTACAAACATTTTCTCCCATTCTGTGGGTTGCCTTTTCATTTTGTTTATGGCTTCCTTTGCTGTGCAAAAGTTTTTTGTTTGTTTGTTTTTTGTTTCTTTTTGGTTGTCAAATGATCCTTTATTGATCCTTTATTTTTCTTTTTCCTTTGCAGTTCTTAATGTGCAAAAGTTTTTGAGTTTAATTAGGTCTGCCTGCAATGTGGGAGACCTGGATTTGATCCCTGGGTTGGGAAGATCTCTTGGAGAAGGGAAAGGCTATCCACCCCAGTATTCTTGCCTGGAGAATTTCATGGACTGTATAGTCCATGGGGTCACAGAGTTGGATATGACAGAGTGACTTTCACTTTCAGGTCTCATTTGTTTATGTTTATTTCCATTACTCTTATGCAGCAAAACTTTATGAGAGTTGTCTAGACTTAGTTTCCCTAAGTTATCTTCTGACATTTTATCATAAACCCCTCTGATCTGGCATTCTCCAACTTACCACTTCACTGAAAGAGCTCTTATTGACATAAAGA